CTACTTAGAACTATTTATTTACAAATGATACAGATTTTGTAGTTTAACATTAATTATATTAATTGACGTCATTATTAGTGTATTTTGCATCGATTAAGTAAAACTGATACTATTTATTTCTCAAATTATATCACATGAAAAAAACTGATACAAAATAAAAATTTACATTAACTATTTAGTTGATGTGTATTCTTATTATTTTTTCACATCAATTATAAAACAATGTAAATTGTGTATCAATAAAAAAGTGATGCTAAAAAATATTTAATAAAATAATTAATATATACGACCTTATTTTTAAAAACTTTGTTTGTCCCACATCGAAAACAAAACATGGGAAAAAAAATTATTCTCCTATAAAATAAACTCATCATTTTAGAATTAGCCAAAATGTATATTAAGTCAAATTACGGCCCTTCGACACACAGTTATTTTTGGTGTCCATATTGGCTTAATTAATAAAATACTAGATTTTGACGCACGCCAAGCGTGGAATTAAATAATTTTTCTAATCGATTTTAATATTTAGATGGGTATTCCAATATTTATAAACGTACAAAATGTTATCTATTGTACATAAATGTCATAAAATTAAATTTTGATCAAGCATATTTTGATGTTATATGCTTTGACCAATTTTGCATAAAGTATTAAAACTAATGCAAATGTTATTTGTTTCAATTTATTTGAAGTGTAAAATTAATTTTTATTATCTGTGTAAATTATAGCATACGATAAAACAAATAAATTTTAAATTTATATGAATTTTTCGTACATAACAAACAAAAAATATATATTTTTCAATAATGAAAAGTAAAATATTTGTAATTGTAGTTGTCGTTTACAAATAAATAATATTGTTACAAATATAATAATGAAAATTTCTTAATATATTAATTTTTTTTAAATAGATTATATGGTAAGTCTAAATATTACATTTAGTTAAAATTTAATATGGAAAAATGTGTATTACTGGGTTTATATTATAAAATTAATAAAAAAGTGTAGAGATTTTCACCATAGCATATGTTTTTAATTGAAATATTTTCATTGATTCATTTAAATGACATGTTTCTTAAAATCTCCATTGAATGATATATGATTTTTTCACAAAATATCTACTCAATTAATATATAGAGGATTAATGACATTTTTGAAAACGTAGAATGATGACATTTTTTTAAAAGTGGTATCTTAAAAGTGGTATTTTTAAAAAATTCACTACATTTAATATAGGAGCAATTGCAAAAATGACACTTTTGGTGTGTACATTTGCAAAAATGTCACTTAGAGATGTCCATTTGCAAAAATACCACTAAATCTGATTTTTTTAAACCTAAATCTTTAAATTATAAACCCTAAAAAATGTTTTGACCCCTAAAGCCCCTTAAACCCTCAAAACTAAACCCTAATACAACATAGTTAATTCAAACATAAATGATATGATGAATTTTTTTTTAAAATGGTATTTTTAAAAAGATTTTGAAAATGTGGTATTTTTGAAAAGTATCACTTGAAAATTGACATTTTTAAAAATTTCTCTTTAATATAAGTGTCATGTAAATTAAGTTTTGTGAGATTTTTATTTGTATGGGAGACATATACTATTTGACATATAGATAAGAATGTTTTATCTTTCTTATTTTTAGTTGAGAAATATTTTAATCTCGCGTTTGATTAGGATAAAAAAATTTAATAGTTATTGAAAAGAAATAAGATATTCTCAAATATTCTATATATTCTTTAAATAAAATCCTCTATATTAATTACCATATATTTGTTGTTTCCATATATCCATCATTAAAAATTATTAATAGTCTTTATTAAGAATTATTTAAAATCCTCTTTAGATGACACTTAGGATTTTTCACCTAGTGTCTCCTCTATTAATATATAGAGGATAAAGCCATTTATAACAC